AGTGTCTTCTAAACATCATATTAAATGAAGACAAAACTTATGCACGAAGGAGAAAAGATAGCTCTGTTTCCTTCACACTTGATTCACAGTTTACAAAGTGCATAGTAAAAATTCCACTGATAATTAATTGCAAGCCCATTGGTCATATGTCTGAGACAATGAAGTTATATATGAGCAACAAAAATGGCACTTCCTGTGAATTTGTAATATTTCAATATAAAAAGTGGAAAAACAGGCCATCTTTGTGCAGGAGATATTCAGTGCCACACACTTGTGATTTGGCAACTTCCTCACTATAAGTCTTTAAGTGGGAAAATAACCAACCAACCAAAAGAGCACTTCAATCTATTTTCCTCTCTTGTTTAACTTACAGCTTTCAAAATTATTCACACCAATGATGCAATGAGACAAATGGGTATTGTTACAGGAAATGTCCAGGCTTTCCAGTATAATAAAATAATGGTTACCTTTCATTTTCTATTTTCTGGCACTTTAATAAATCTATAATAGTCACTGATATTTATCATAACATTAAGAGGCTGCAAGATCTTGAAATTATTCCTGAATGGCAAAAAAAAGAATGTTCAAAAATGTTCAGTTATTTGAAGATGATCTCACTGTTAAGTCTGTTGTTTTTCTCCATACTTTTCATTATGAGAATGTTCATACATACTGAAACGTTAAAATTACACTGTCCTATATTAAATAATTTGCCACATTTTTTTCCCTTTTCATCTTCCCATATGTTCCTACACTCATACATAACATACTTTTTGTTGTTGAATAATTTGAAAGCAAATCATATGATGCTGACGGATATGTATTTTAATGTATTCTAATTCTTTCAAATGTATCTATATATAAAGTACATCATGTAATATCCATATATAAAATAAATATTAACACAAACACATTTTTCTTATTGTTTTTACATGTTAATTTCTCACAAGGATTGTTTGTTTTTTTTTTTTTTAGTGAAAATGCCCAGTTGTCTAATATGAAAATTGATTCATGTTTATTATCAGTATTAACTCCATCCTGTACCTGACCACCAATGCATGTGTCCTATCTTAAATAATTACCTTGCAACTTTCTTTTGGATAATAGCTGCCCTAACAAGAGTAAAGTGACATCTCATAGTGGTTTTGATTTTCATTCCCCTGATGATGAAGTTAAATCTTTGCAAATAAATGAGGATAAAACTCAACCTAAAGTGGATCAAAATCTTAGACATTAGAACATAGATCCTATGACTAAAAGAAGAAAAATTCGGCCCAAATCTTCACCTCTGTAGACTTAGGAACTGACTTCCTTAGCAAGACTCCTAAAACGCAAGTAAAATCAAGAAACAATAAATGGGATGGATTCAAACGAAAAAGCTTCTTCTCAGGAAAGGAAAGAATCAATAACATGATTTTCCATGTGAAACCAGTGCTTTGATTTATATTCTTATAGATAAGTCATGGCATTTTCTGTCACCTAGACATTTGAGAGACTAACTGATTCTCAAAGATGAGTTCTCTTTTTTTATCAAATGGAAAATAAGTCCATTATTGCTAGTGTAACCCAAAACTTCCTAAAATATTAAGCTGTGAGAAAGAAATTTAATATTGGTAAATTTATCAAAATTTAGGTTAACTCTCATTAAAAAAGTACTCAAATAGATCCCGAGAAAGGCAATTAACATTATCAAAGAATTAACTTTAAAAAAGATAGGAGGGGTGGGGGTGTAACTTAGTGGAAGAGCACTTGCCTAGCATGCAAGAGGTCCTAGGTTTGATCCCCAATATAGGGAGAAGGGAAGAGGGAGGAAAACTTTTACATTAACTTTATTACCACAAATGGGATGAGATTTCTCAGGTTAATTAACTTTTGAATATGATGTGTTTTACTCATCTCCATATAACATATTGAAGGTAACATTTTGAAATTCACCTTAGAGGTCCTGCTTGAAGGATAGTACTATGGGTAGAATTGTTTCTGCCTCAAAAATATATATCACCTTAACTGCCAGTACCTCTGAGTGTGAATTTACTTGGAAATTGTGTTATTGTAGATGTAAGTTGTTGAGATAGGGTCATGCTGCAATAGAATAGGTCTCTAACTCAATTGTACAGGTACCTTATAAGAAGAGCAAGATTTGGACACAGACATTCAGAGGAAGACACATAGAAAGAAGATGGCCACATGATAGGGGAGGGAGGCAGAGATCAGACTGATGGAATACCAAGGATTGCTGTCTCTCTTCAGAAGCCAGGTGAGGGACATGGAACAAGAAATGAACCCTACCAACACTTTGGCTTTGGATTTCTAGCATCCAGAACTGTGAGAGGATACATTCATATTGTTTGTAGTTTTTTTGCTATGCTACTCTTGGGAAACTAAGATAGAGAGAGAGAAAAAGAGAGAGAGAGAGAGAGAGAGAGAGAGAGAGAGAGAGAGAGATAGCAGATGGAGGAAGGCAGACTAAGATTAAGATTCCGGCCTATTAGGTTTAGGTGTAGGCATACAATGAGTTCTTCAGAACCCAGACTTAAATAATATAGTGGTCCTATTAGTTTTAAGTGAATCACATAAAATTGCTATTTTCGGGGCTGGGATTGTGGCTCAGTAGTAGAGTGCTCACCTAGCTAGCACTGGGTTCAATCCTCAGCACCACATAAAAAATAAACAAACAAATAAATAAATAAATAAAAGATAACTATGTCTAACTACAACTAAATATACATATATGTATAATATTATATGGATATATAAATATGTTTAAATATTTATATAATATATAAAATTAATGAGAAAATAATATATATTTATATATTACATATAAAATAGATATTATATATAAATATATAATATGCAAATATATAAGCCATTTTCATAGGGCGAAAATGAATTAATAGACAAAACTGTATTATATTCAACTCAATAGATGGATACATAAATAATTTAAGTTTCCCCAAACCCCTTTTCATCTTCAGCAGCAAACCCATTGTGGAATTGTCTAGGAAAATATTTCCCCTGCATGACTTTCCCTCTATAAATAGCTTTTCAGAGTCCATTCATTTCATTTAGCTAAGGAAGTTTCCGTCTCCATGACCCATATAGAATTAAACACTAGAGGCAATCGTTGGGCAAGGTTTTGCCTGCTCTCTCTCTCATTTGCACATCGCTGTGCACAGTTTATCCTAGAAGACAATACTGGGGATTCTATCTCATTTACATTCAAAGCTAAGGTTCCTCCAGGGGATTTTTTTTTTCTCATTCCATTTGGCACAAGCAGTAACTGTGTTTGACAACATCTGCCTTACAGCTCCATCTGACACTTGGTTCCCGTCCACATTCTCTTCCTGCTTGTCTTTTGAGGAAGATATTTTCACAACAGAGGTGGAAAGAAGGAAAGTAAGGGTGAACCACGGCTGTATTTTTTTCAATTAATATGAGTCAGGAGCTTACCAAACATCTTTACCTATCTCTTACTCCAAAGGTTGTTGACATAAATCACTATTCTCTAAACCTGCCTTTTTGTTCTTTGGGATTCTTGAGCATTCACAAGTAATTTCTGGTGTTTATTTCCTTGATTTTCAAATATCTATCCCTTCATAAAATGTTTTCAGCTAAAAAAGTAAAACACAAAACAACACACACACAAATTTTACCAACAATGTTTTTGATCAACAAAAGATAGAACTCAGTTTAATGATATTTTGTATAAACTACTGATAAAGCACAATTTGTTTTCATAACAAGTAGATATTTAATAGGACATTCTTTTCCATAAATTTTTAAGTAATCTTTCACTCAGATAAATTATATAACTAAAGGAAAATTCTAAACCTTGTAAATATTAACTTGTATAATTATCTACTCCAAACAGAATTTTCATAACATAGAGTTTACTAGTAGCAATTGCCTCTGAATTATTACCTACTTTGATTAAACTAGGGGTTTTTTGTTGTTGTTATTTTGATATGGCTTTAAATTCTAACAGATTGTTTCAAAATGTTATTCTATTTCCACTTGACTGGAAATCCTATGCCATTATGCTATTCATTATACGAAGTTCTAAAATTTCCCTGTGCTGGACAATATATAAACAACTGGTGATACTAAGCTGCCTTTAAAGGAAAAAATTTCTTGACCTAAAAAAAAGGTAATATTTGACTTCAAAATATATGACATTTCTCTCCTCAGTAAACTTTGTGAATAAGTTTTCAGAAATATATATAATGTGTATGTATACCTAGTTCACATATTTGTCCACATAAAATTTGAATAAGGAAGAATGTGGTTGTAAAGAGTACCTTGGCCTTTATGGATTTTTGAGTAGAAACTACTTAAGGATACAGAGTGTAAATGAAGGATTAAATCTACACACTTCTCTCTTGGGGACAGACTATTACACAGGTGCCTGCACTTATTTTGGAATCTCACCTGCTACATTTCTTACTTATTAGCGATGAAAAACCTCAGACACTTTGCCTCTTCCAGCTTGCCTATCATTTGAGAATAAACTCAAACAAATCCTTCTTTCTTTTCCAAATACAAACCCAGCCATTGAAAGTTAAGACAAATTAGAATCTGATGACTCCTTTCACAAACACAGATATCTGTGTTTCATTTCAGCTTCTTATAAATGGCAAGCTTCTCTAGGATATCAAAGTGTGACTCTAATATGGAAATGTTAAAATGTGCCATCTATGTATGTACATCTCCCAGACCACGTCTGGTATAGAAAGCCAGGCTTCCCTACCAGCTCTCATGCATCTCCTTTGCACAGTTCTCCCCAGAGACCACATTCACTGCAACATCCCGTGGCTTTCAGAGAGCCATGAGGATTCCATCAGACCACGATCAACTTGGCTTGCTCTCTGCCCTTCAGGAGTCACACCCGTCAGCTGCACAAAGCAGCTCCCTGGCCCCTTAGTCTTTTGAGTCAGGTTCCTGACTGCTCCAGGTCACAGGTCCCCCAGAGATGCTATTATATAATGAAATAAACTTACTGTTTTCTTTAACACTTTGAGAGCATAAGGCTTCTGGGTCCCCTTCTGTTTGCATCTGTACACAATGGATGTAGCACCCCTTGAGGGGGAAAAAGACAAAAAAGAAAATGTTATGCTTTGGACATGAATTAAAGGGATAAATTTGAAAATAAGTGTCTCTTACAGTTACCCTCTTAAACGACAAGTGTTTATAAGTTCCACTATACACGGGCCCTATATGTTAAGAGTACTTTTTTTTCCACAATTGAATACATTTTGTTTAGAAAATTCTAGGTTTTTAGACTGCTCTTTTTAGACCCTTTTTTCCTCTCACCCCTTCTCTACACCAGTAACAAACAACAGGGCTGCTTCATTCAGTAGGCACGCAAGTAAATCCCGTCCTCCGGTAAACATAATTTTTGAAGAACACCCATCCAAATCAGAATCCTAGAGTGCCTAAAGGTACCTGTTGAGTAAAAATAAGCTGTATGACTTCAGGGAGGGGTTTCAGTTCAGGACTTTTGTAAGTGTTCTAACAGTGCATTTCTGTTACTTGGCAAGGGAGCTGGAGAACCACCTACCCCTTGCTCTTTATTTTTTTTTTTTAACCTATTAAGGAGAATGATAGGGAAGAATGTAACAGCTATCTTCCTATATTTGTAAGGTTGCTAAAAAAAGAGCATTAAAAAGCAGGACAGTGTGGTACCAACGTTCCCACTCCACACACAAAGCAAGAGAGTAAGAGAAACAGACAAAAAGAGAAGTACAGACCAAACAGGCTAAGTTTCAACTTCAGAAGGAGAATATCTGGAAGTATCTTAAAATAAGATCAGCTTGAAGTAAACCTCTCAGACTTTGAAGAGCAAGCCAAAGGCCCTCTTGTGATATATTCAGTCCTATGGTTCTGAAATTCTAGGTGGGCACAAAGGTTTATAAAAATCAAACACATATCTAGCTATCTAAGCACAATAAACTTTTCATATAGCCAAGAGAAGTCGGCTCTAGTGGGTTCTATTTACCAATGGCCAAGAAAAGTGTTACTATTTTTAAAGATCTTTGGTAAGAAAGGACATATACACAAAATAAAGTGTTCTAGAAATAAAACAAGTGACAATAAATATGAAATTTACTTTTTTTTACATTTACATGCTTTAAAAGATAACTAAAGAAAATATATTTTTAATATCTTTATTTTATTTATTTTTATGTGGTGCTGAGGATTGAACCCAGTAGAGCGATCACCCAGCCTCGAACATGCTAGGTGAGCGATCTACTGCTGAGCCACAATCCCAGCCCAATTAAAGAAAAATATTAACAACACATTGCATTCAAAGCATATGTAAAAGTAAAATGAATGACAATAAATGAAGAATAGAAAAATAGAAGTTGGTAAAATACTGCAGTGAAGTCTCTCTGTGTGAGGTGCATGATGTTATTTAAAGATAGATTCTGATTAACTAAAGGTTGGTATTATATGACCTTGCACAACGGCTAAAATAATTATTTAAAAGAAAAGTCAATAATAAACCAATAATAAACCTAAAATGCAAATAATCAAAAATGCAAATCAAAACCACAATGAGGTTTCATTTTTTTACCTTTTAATTTGGCTATTATCAAAAAAGGTGAACAATCTCAAGTGTTGTTGAGGGTGTGGACAAAAGGAAACCCTTGCACAGTGTTGGTAAGAGTGTAAATTAGTGTAGTCATTGTAGAAAACAATGGAAGTTACTCAAAAGATTTAAAAAATAAAACTGTGGTAGAACTTATGATCCAGAAATCCCATTACTGGCTATATATTCAGAGAATGAAATCAGCATGCCAAAGAGCTCATTCTCTCATGATCATTGTAGCATTACTCATAATAGCCAAGATATGGAGTCAACCTAAGTGTCCATTAATAGATGAATGACTAAAGAAAATGTGTTATATATACACACTGGAATACTACTAAGTCTTTAAAACAAGAAATTCTTGCTATTTTCAACCACTTGGATGAAGGTGGAGGACAGTAATGAAACAAGTCAGACACAGACAAATATTGCATGATTTCACTTATATGTAGAATCTAGAAAATGTGAACTCATAGRAACTGAAAGCAGAATGGTCAGGGATTTGGGGGATGTTGCTCAAAGGAGACAATAATGATGTATTATATCTTGAAAATCATTAAGGGAGCAGTGCATATGTTAATTAGATTGAATTAGTCATATCACAGTGTATACACATCTCAAAACATCATATTTTATGCCATAAGAATGTATAATTTTTAATTATAAACAAAAGATTTTATCAAAATTATATTGAGATTTCAATTGACTCCAGTAAGAATGGCAATTATCAAGAATATAAAATAATGATAAATGCTGGTGAGAGTGTGGGAGAAAAGATACACTTACACATTGTTGGTGGGACTTCAAATTAATGCTATCACTCTGGAAAGTGTGTGAAGAATCCTCAAAAAAAAAAAAGGACCCAGCTATCCTACTCCTCAGAACTAAAATCAGCCACATCCAAGTTTATAGCAGTGCAATTTACAATAGCCAAGTTATGGAACTAGCCCTGGTGCCCATCAGTAGCTGAATGGATTAAAAAAATGTGGTATATATACACAATGGAGTTTTACTCGGCCATAAAGAAGAATAAAATTGTGGAATTTTCCAGTCAGTGGATGGAAATAGAAAACATCATGTTAAGTAAAATAAGCCAGACTCAGAAACTCAAGGATTAAATGTTTTCTCTCATATGCAGAAGCTAGAGCAAAGTAAGGGGGGTAAAGAGGGGTTGGGAGCAGATATCATAAAGATATAGGGAAGTTCAGTGGAGCTGAAGAAGGAGATTGATGGGAAGACAGGAAGACCAAGAAACAGGAGGAAATGCAGAAGGAATTTGACAAAATTATGCTAGGTGAACATATAAATATGCCACAGTGAATTCCACCTTTATGCATATCTATAAAACACCAATTTAAAATGAATAAATAAATGAGTAAAGTAGAGAAAGGAGAAAAAGGGAGAGAAGTTGAGAGGGAAAGAGGGGGCCACGAGGGACCGAAATGGAGTAAATAAATCCCATGCATTATGGTTATGTCTCTATGAACTCAATTATTATTTATAACTATAATGCACTAATAAAAACATTAAAAATAAATAAATGAGAGTCTTGAGCATATATCTCACCAAAGAAAATATATGGATAGCAAATAAGAACCTGGAAAGATGCTCAACTACATTATTCATTAGGGAAATACAAATTAAAACCATAAGAAAATGGCAACTACACACCTATTTGAATGTCTTAAAATAAAAAGACTAGCAAGGATGCAGAGCAACTAACACTCTCATGCTTTGCTGGTGGGAATGAAGAATGGTGCAGCCACTTTGGAGAAGAGCTTGGCAGCTTCTGCTGAAGTTAAACATATCCCGGGACCCATCTGTCTCACTGGCAGATATTTATCCAAATGATATAAAAACTGTGTTCATTTACAAACTTGAACACGTATCTTCGGAGCAACTTTATTAGTATTCATCAAAATCTAGAAATACTCCAACATCCAACTGTGAAACAGATCAACAATCTACAGTATATTCATACAATGAAATTCTACCTAGAAAGGAAAGGGAATAAACTAGGGTGCTCTTAACAACCTGGATGAGTCTCTACACAATATCCCAAGTGAAAGAACATCATTTCAAAAGGCAATATACTATATAACCCAATTTGTATAATATTTTAAAGACAAAATTATAGGGATGGAAAATATATCAGTGGTTTTTAGGGCCTCAGAAGTTGGGGAAATATTGACTGCAAGTAAATATGGAGACTTTTTTTTTCTCATGAGAGAATTGCTCTATATCTTTTTTGTGTTGGTGTTTGCACAAATATATTCACTTGCCAAAAAGGCATAATTGTGTAATAAGGTGAAATTTACCATAATTTAAATTATATCTTAATAAAAGTAAGTAAAACATTGTTCTAGAAAAACCATATTGTTCAAAGGCAAGGGCAAAAACCAAATTACCAAAATATAGCCTATAGTATTCATTCCATTCTATTTTCACTTAACAATAGGTAACTGATGAAATCTTAGAGAGAAAAAATTTAAGAAAATGTGACTTGCAAACATTTGAAGTAAAACCAAAATCTAATTTTCATTTTTATGAATAATGGAAAAAGTTAGCAATTGAAAAGTTAATATTACTCAATAATTCATGTAAAAGAAAATATATTATAAGGCATATATTCCTTAATTTCCTAATCTCATTAAATTACCTCATCAATAAAATTTTCAGTATATCAATTCTTATTTTAGCAAAACCTTTTTAAAAAAATTAACAAATTCTTAAGACACAAGTATACTAGAAATAACATTTTAAAGACTGAAAGTAATAAGTTAAAAGAATAACCTAAATAGATTTATATGAAAATAACATTTTAGTAATTTCTCAAAAACATAGCCTATATTCTTTGTTGAAATTAAATGGTGCTCAAGTTTGTAAATATAGAAATGGAATCATGTTTTCAGTATATTTATATAAAATGGTGTTTTTACATAAAACATATTAACAGTTAACTTTTAATATAGATGGGACATATTGTACATTTTGCATCCTCACTTCAAAATATATTATGTAGAGAGAATTATCAAAAAATTATCTGAGATCCAAAAGAAGCAAGAGATTATAGAATAGAAGATATTATTTTTATGGGGTTATTCAGCTAAAAAATAATGCTTCACTTTTCATATCTATTCATTTATAGCATGTTCTTTAACAAAAAGACCAGGAGTATAAAAATTATTCCAGTGAGATCTTTTTCTGCTATGATTTTTATAACAAAGAAAGGAAATCAATACTCTTGAAGTTTGACTTTTATTTTCAAATTGGTTTTCTTTAACAGAAATGTTAGGGAAGTTATTTCCAAGYTCTATCCTCATCAAATGGCTGGATATTTTTAAAAACATCTTAAGGCAAAAGGTTAAAAACACAGACCACCACGTTTTTCATTAAACAGAAAGAAGAGAATGTAGTTCAACCTGTAATGTTTCTAAAACTGTGTATAGTGTAATGATTATAATACTGTGTACAAATCATAACATAT